CAATGTCTCTGGAGTTAGTGTTGACACGGGCGGCTGTGCCGCGGCGCTGGCGTCCTTCTTGGTCGTGTACGGTCTCGGGTGCGAGGTTGCCCGTCGCGGACGCGTCACGCTTCTGTAGAGGGAGACGCCGCTGCGGCGCGCAGAGCGCGTCACGGGAGCCTGTGTGCCGGGGCCGCCGCGAGCGACAGCGAGGACGAAGGGGAAGCACTCTAGCGTTTCGCGGGACGCCGAACTTATCGTCACCCGCATCTCTCCTCAGTCTAGAAAAATAAATGGGCCCGAGGGTGAGCCCCGGAAGATGGGGGTAAATATTGGCGAAAATGTCGGCAGTATTATGGCGAGGAGGCGCGTCGGGTCGAGCGTTGGCGGGGTCCTCGCGAGGTCGGCCGGCGGTGGGGATTGACTTGGGCACGACGAATTCGTGTGTGGCGGTATACGAAGGTGGACAGGCGGTGGTGGTGGCGAATAAGGAGGGTGGACGGACGACGCCGAGTATGGTGGCCTTTGCGGCGGGTGAGGAGGAGCCGTTGGTTGGTGTGGTGGCGAAGCGGCAAGCGGTGGTGAACCCCAATACGTTGTTTGCGACGAAGCGATTGATGGGGCGTAAATTCGCGAATGTGAAGCAGGAGGCGCGTAGCATGCCTTACGGTATCGTTGAAAGTGCCAACGGTGACGCCTGGCTCCAAGTCGACGGGCGCAGCTACAGTCCCAGCCAAGTGGCCGCCATGGTGTTGCAGAAAATGCGAGAAACCGCGTCCGCGTATTTGGGAGAAGACGTGCGCGACGCCGTCATTACGGTCCCCGCATACTTCGACGAAACTCAGCGACAGGCAACCAAGGACGCCGGCCGCATCGCAGGTCTCAATGTACTTCGGATCATAAATGAGCCCACCGCCGCCGCACTCGCCTACGGCCTCGACAAGACCGGCATGGACTCGGCATCGACCTCGGCATCGGGCGGTAGGACGTCGTCATCGGGCGGTAAGACGATCGCAGTGTACGATTTGGGTGGTGGCACGTTCGACATCTCAATTTTGGAGTTGAACGGCGGTGTATTTGAAGTCAAGGCGACGAACGGACACAGCAGCCTGGGTGGCGAGGACGTGGATACGGCGCTGACGGATAGTTTGGTGGCGCGTTTCCAACGGCGCACGGGTGTGGACTTGAGCTCGGACCGGGCGGCGGTACAGCGTGTACGGGAGGCAGCGGAGACGGCGAAACAGGAGTTGTCTAGTCGGCGCGAGACGGAGGTGAACCTTCCCTTCATCGGCGTAGACGCGGCGGGACAGGTGCAACATTTGCGCGAGAAATTGACGCGCGCGGATTTGGAGGAAATTGCGGACCCGATCCTGCAAAAAACGGTGGAGCCGTGCCGAAAATGTTTGATGGACTCGGGGGTGCCGCGGGAGGCGGTGGACGAGGTTATTCTGGTAGGCGGCATGACCCGGATGCCGAAGGTGCGCGAAGTAGTCGAACAAGTTTTTGGGCGCAGACCAAACACGAGTGTGCATCCCGACGAAGCTGTCGCAATCGGAGCCGCGGTTCAAGCTGGCGTCCTCACCGGCGGCCGTGACGACTTGTTGTTGCTGGACGTAATCCCGCTTAGCCTAGGCATCGAGACCATGGGCGGCGTTTTCACTCGTCTTATTGACCGGAACACGACCATCCCCACCAAGCGGAGCTCGCTTTTCAGCACCGCCGTAGACAACCAAGACAAGGTCAACATCAAGGTCTTCCAGGGCGAACGGCTCATGGCCAACAGCAACAAGCTGCTCGGACAGTTCGAATTGGCCGGCATACCACCAGCACCGCGTGGAGTTCCTCAAATCGAAGTTACATTCGAGGTTGACGCAGACGGCTTGCTCAACGTCACAGCCAAAGATAAAGCCACCGGCCAACGACAGGAAGTCACCATCAAATCCTCTGGAGGACTTAGTCCTGAAGAAATCGAACAAATGGTGACCGAAGCAGAAGCCCATTACAAAAACGACCAAGACGCCATGGAATTTGCAACCAGCAAAAACGACGCAAACAATCTCATATATAAAGCTGAGCTCTTACAAAAACAAATACCTGATCTTACTCACAAGGAGAAGAACATACTTGACGACGCCATACAAAGTGTTAAGACCACCAACTCAGGCGCAGAGCTCCGTAGCGCACTGAAAGTACTTCAAGACATACTATGGGATATTTCCAGAACACATAACTAAACTTTCTTGTCGGTCAGTGGACCCTTGACGTGTTGTGGTCGACCCTTGACGTGTTGTGGTCGACCCTTGACGTGTTGTGGTCGACCCTCGACGTGTTGTGGTCGACCCTTGACGTGTTGTGGTCGACCTTTGTTGTGGTGAGTGGAGGGCTTGTTAAAGGGTCAAGGATGATGGTGGTTTTTGGTGGGGGGTAAAAACGTGTGCAATGACCCATGAAAAGGTCTTATGTCGATCACATCATACTCGGACGACGACTCTGAGCGTAGTCGGGGCGTAGAGGCGTTGGTCTCTGCGCCATATGATCGTGAGTGTGCCCCATGGGGTGTGAAGCTTTATTTCGACGGCGATCTGTCGTTGTGTAATCGGCGTCTCCGTGACATGAAGGATCGGCTACACGACCGGCAGGAGGAGCTTTCCTGGACCGTGAGTCCGCAACAGAACGGTGAGGACCGCCCAGAAGACCGGCCAGCCGCAGACCAGCCAACGGATCGGGCCAGCGTAATGGACCGCGCCCCCAAGAATTGTCTTCAAGATTGTCTTGAAGATGACTGTTCGGTAGATTGTCTACCGCGTCCAGAAAATCGCGTCATAGGCCTCCCCACGGGCCAGGAGGACGTGACGGAGGGCGAGGTATACCGCTGGATGAAATACTGCGATCAACTGCCCGCAATTAAGTCAGCAGAATTAGATTCCGTACCAAGCGAACATGTGTGCGAACCTCTCCGTCTCGGTCGTACCGTTGGCTCTAAACGCATCAACAGTGCAGGCTACATGCTCCATGCCGAGTCCACCCGGCACACCGACTCCAGCACTACTCACAGCAACGCCACTGGGCCACAGTTTGCCCGTCCGCAATTTGCAGGACCCCAATTCGCCGGCCCCCAGTTGGCTGGACTGCAGACGACTGAGTTAGGAGCGGAGGTAACGGGGCTGCAGGCAACTGCCGGTGCAGGCACTAAGACGGACCCGGGGTCTCGCCGTCGAGGAAAACGGAAGGAGGAGAAGCGCAAGCAGGCCCTCGTGAGCCAGCACACTGGTGGCCAGCACACGGTGCCGGTGGAGTTGACTGACTGCGAGCGTGGGGATGTATGTGCCTTGCACAGTCCGCGGTTATGTGAGGAGTTCGGCTTTTGTGACCAGGGTTGGATTCGTTACGGGGATTGCGATCGACGGTCAGGTGACCAGTTGCGTTCGGCTGACCAGTTGTCGGTACGTTCGGGTTTATCGAGACGGAGGTTGCTTGAATCGGGGGGGTTCCTAGGACGGCCTCATCGACGACGTCATTCGACGGGTGTGTTGTGCGAGTATCACCGACGTCTGGAGAGCGAAGACCTAGCTTCTACGGGAACACATCGTGCAGATCGCGCTCCCCCTCCCGATCTGCTCATGTCCGAACTAATTCGCGCCATCCGTCACGAAGAAAACCGCCTGCCCCACCACTTGGCACAGGGGGAGCTGACACACTTATCACAGGGGGAGCTGACACACTTGGCACCCAGCCACCTCGCACGCTTGGCGCCGGAAGAAGAGGAAAGCGTCCCCCGGAGTTGTGCGCCACTCTGCGAACACGAAGTCGGCTCGGAACAAAACACGGGTGCCATTCTTCGCAAGGCCCTCCAGGCCGAGCGTCGGAGTCTCGACCCCGGCGCCGGGCAAGCCATGGCGGCGGGCTCACGACGCCGGGCTCGCGACCGAGACCGGGTAGACGAAAGGAGGGACGACCGCAGAGACGAAAGGAGGGAGCGTGGCGAGAAGGCCAGGGTCTACGACGCGCGGTCTTCGGACGAGACCGGAGCGAGCCGCGGCATTGAGGAGCTAACCGGCGCCAGCGAAGCATCGTCGGCATTGCCTTTAGAGAACCGGGTGCTCAAGAGCCAACTAGAGAAGACTACCGAAGATCTCGCCAACAGCAATCGTGTCAATGAACGGTATCGCGACAGACTCAGGTCCCTGGAAACGGAGCTCGAGGAAATATTCAACCAGGGAAAAAAGACGGAGTCGTATTACAAATCGGAGATCGAGCGCTTGACTCGGGAATTAGATGAAATCAGACGGGAGTTCGTCCAGTATAAACTCAGGACGTCCTCCACCGAGAAGTCCCTTTCCGATGCGATTAGCGAGAAAGAAACAATGCATGAAGCGCAAATAAAACAGCTGCAAAATGACAACCAACTGGCAGCCGAAAAATTAAAGGAGCAGATCAAAGACCTGAAAATCGACCTCTGCAAGACGAAGGACCAACTCCGAATATCAGAAGCTGATGTAACCATTGCAAAATCCGAAATTGAATTGTTGCACACCCGTGTGCACGAACAGCATGTGTCCGCCGAAAACAAACTGAATCACCAGCAAAAGCAGCACGAAGAAGAACTGCATAAGATTACCTCCGATTGCGAACACCTTGCGCTGTCCTTAAAGAAGATTAAAGGAGCTTATGATGCGCTGAAAAAATCAAAAGTGACTGTCGAAGATGCTGAATTATTGGAACAAGCTGTAGACAAACTCAATGCGGAGATTGACTCTCGAGACAGCCAGATTCAGTCTCTAATAAGGGCGAACGAAGATTTCAAAGCCAAAGCCTTGGACTTTGAACGAAAGGCAAATGACAACGAGGTAATGACTTCCCTTCCCTTCCCCTCCTCCTCTAGCGGTCCCTTCTCCTCTAGCGGTCCCTTCTCCTCTAGCGGTCCCTTCTCCTCTAGCGGTCCCTTCTCCTCTAGCGGTCCCTTCTGTTGCCGCCTGGATGACCGGGTGGATTTACGTCAAGTTTGTGCTAGTGGGTGATATGGGGCTTTGGCCATTTATTGTAGATTGGTTTAAACGTCAAGGCGAAGACGTTAGAGGAGCAAAATATTTATATTGATTTTTTGAATGGACGTATTGAGAGCAGTCAGCAGGAGTCCATTGAGCTGAGAGAAGCCATTGCTTCGCTGACAGGAAAATTGAAGGATACGCAAGAAATTATGGAGGAACTGAAAAGGAGACAGGTGCCGGAGGAGACGAGTAAGGAGTGGGCGGAGATGAAGCACGAAATTATCATACTCAAGACTGAACTTGGCTCCAAGAATAAAACCTTGGACACCGTGCTCCGTACTCTGGACGACTTGGAGAATGAGCAAAAGAAGGAACAAGAACGGCACATGAGAGACATGAGGGCCAAGCTGGAGGCCAAGGATCAGCAAGTGATGAAGTTGCAGCAGACGATTCAGGAGCTGCAAGTCAGTTCCGACACCATACAGGCGAAACATGACCAGCTGGAGAAGAGGTTGAAAGATAAGGTACGTGATTGTGGGGTGTAATTTATGTCGCAATTTTTAGACGGTTGAATGCACAAAACTTGGGTGTGAATTAGCGGACGTTAAAGACAGCATGCGGAACAACATTCAGCGCGTGTTGAACTCGTTCAGCTGATTAGAAGGGTCGTTGAGCTTTGCGGACGCCCTGGTTTTCGCAATAGCCGCAACGGATGTCCTTGTCGAATCGGTTGTCCGGATATACCGTGTAGTGGGCCGCGGTCCCGGACTGGCCCCAGAAAGGCGGCAGAAGTCGCGCAGAGACGTCGCACTCGAAGGGTGCGTCTTCAGGCCAGATCCCGGCACTCCCGGGTTCGAGTTCATACGCACGCTCTTCCAGGAGTTGAGCGTCAGCGAGGCGGCTGTCGTTCATTTGGACGCCAGGCGGCAACACCACCGTCTTGATTACGGCTGGTTTGGAGTTGAGAATCTTGTTCAGTTGCTGCATGAAATCACGACGTGATGAAACAAGGAACTGTTCGGGACAGCGTTGCTCTTCCGCCACGAACTTGGAGTTTCCAGCGCCCCTGAAAAGAAGAGAGGTGTTCCCAGCTGATGTTCCCCGGCTGCCATAGCGACTAATCCGCTTCCCTGACATGCCGCTTCCCTGACATGCCGCTAACTCTCTAGATCGGCCGTGTTCACAGATGCATGTCCTGGTCACTTACATTTCAGCTTTCAATAAATGTGCAATTGACTTCGATTGTGCATGCCGATGCTACATGCTGCGTCGGCCCCGACCCCAAGTCAACTGGCGGCCAGTTGACTCGGGGTCGGGGTGACTAGACAATAAGCTTGGGTTCAGAGTGACTAGACAATAAGCTTTTCATTTTGATTGGCGGCGGGAGAGAAGAGTCGCCACAACCGGGAAGCGACGAGTTTCCCTATGCATTTCCCATCGATAGTAACCTTAGCTAGAGTATCCGGCGTTGTGTGTGCGAGATCCCGCACAAGACTTGAGCAGGTGGGCCATTTTGAAATGAGTTTCATCGCGACATGTTTGCTGATCCCCGTAATGCACATGAGTTGGTTTACCCAGATGTTGCTTGCAGGGTCGTCATGGATCCGTAACAGTTTGGGTTTGGCATCCGGTCTTTTTTTGGCGTCTTGGAGAGCGTCCCACACTTGCAGGTACCTTGCGGCTAAGTGGAGCGCCTCGCGGATGTCGCTGGTGTACCGCACCTGTACTTGGTTGAGTAAAAGGTCCAGTACAACATCGTCCGAGAGGTAACCAGCCTTTCCAACGAGGATGCAAATCTGAAAACCGACCTGTGCTGGCGGGAGCACTCGTCTGGACTCCGTGCGAGCAACCGGGAGAGAAGATTCACGTGTCGCGAAAAAGGGTCTCAAGAAAACATCGGCGGAAGGGGAGGGCAGACTTTGGAGAAACACATTCAATTGACACAGGCGCTCTGGGCTCTCTTGATTCAAAACCTCTCGATGCAAAGCCTCCGCGTTCAAAGCCTCTTCCACGAAATCATCGTCTTCTACCCGATGGGGATCGTCTCCTAGCCGGTGGGGGTCGTCTCCTAGCCGGTGGGGGTCGTCTCCTAGCCGGTGGGGGTCGTCTCCTAGCCGGTGGGGGTCGTCTCCTAGCCGGTGGGGGTCGTCTCCTACCGGGTGGGGATCGTCTCCTAGCCGGTGGGGGTCGTCGTTTACGGACAGATGATAGTATACTGGCGGGCCCGTATGCTTGCACGTCCGTTTGCTTTCAAGCTTGCGACACACAACACCACTTTCCACATGCAGAACTGACTGGTACTCGCGGAAGCGATCGTCATCCCATGACGGATGGCCGTTGCAGATGGCACAAAGGATCTGGCCGAAGCACATCATCTCAGGTGGTTTAGGTGGCAACAGTTTCGAGTGAGTGAGGGGACGCGTGGTGTAAGTATCGCGTGCGTGTAAGTATCGCGTGCGTGTAAGTATCGCGTGCGTGCTCATAAAAAGTGTGTGCAAAAACATGTCGTCAGCCGACGGACATTCGTAGGGAGAAATCCGTTTGTTCGGTGACGGTGAGTGGGCCGAAGTACCTGCCTTCGGGCGGGAGGTTGGCGGTTTCGAGTGCCCGTTCGAGTATGAGTTGTTGGTCTTCACGGCAGCGGGCGGAGCAGTGTGCTTGCAGCGGTAGGAGAGGGAGTTGTTTGAAACGGGGTGTTAGTGCATGTTCAATTTGGGCCCAGGTCCAGCGGTCGAGCATGAAGTTAGCGAGTTCGCTGGAGGTGAAGCTCATAGCTTGGAGTAGGTGGCTGGTGAGGCGCCAGTAGGCGTGTCTGCCATGTTGTTGAGATCGGCCGGGAAGGGTGGCCATGTCGTACATGGGTGTGACGTCGAGGGTGTGTACGGGATCGCATCGAATAGCGTCGAGTCGTTCATGAACGAGTTGCAGTCGTTGGGGTGTGACGGATTCGAATGTGAAGAAGCCGGGTGCGCGGAGTAGGTCGGCTTCGACTTGGTCGATCACGGCGTAAATGCTGTCTTCGATTTGTTCCGCACGAAAGACCCGCCGTAGCGGCAGCATGTGCGTACGCATATCTAGCGGACCCTCCACCGGTCCGCCGGAGTCTTCAAAGACGTACGGGTGATGGTTGCCATTGGTCATGGCCGCAAAGGCACTTGCGGTGATGCGGTCAGCGGGCAAGGACTCGATGAGCGCCGCTAAGTGCTTGGCGGCGCAGTCGCGGGAGACCTCGCCTTCGCTCTTCGTAAGCCGCGTGCTGTAGCGGTGGAAGCTTAGCGGATTGGGACGCATACATTCGAACGAAAGCCACTTCATCACCGGCACGTAGCCGAGATGCTCCACGCAGAAACTCTGTAGTTTCTCCAGCGAAACACCTGCGCGCTCCAAAAAACAACCCTGCACCCAAGCGTTCCCGCGCCATGACAGGCAACGGTATGGCTCTTCCTTCAACAACGCGCCCACGTATTCTCTCACACCCGCTGTCGCATAACCGAACGGGTTATCAAAGTACATACTAATCACTGCAGCCAACTCAACGTAACGCAGGTTCGCTTCCTTCAAATTCGCCCACTCCAAGGTTCCCATTTGCCGCCACTGCGGACTAGACAATAACCCGTGCAATGCAACGTAACCCTTTCGAGAACATCGGAACACTTTCGCACTGTAACCGAAACCTGTCAACACCGGAACCGACGGGGAGTAACATCCACCCGTCCTACGTGCCGCCGGTCCCGGCGCTGTCGATCCTAACGCCTCCGGTGCTGTCGATCCTAGCGCCTCCGGTGCTGTCGATCCTAACGCCTCCGGTGCTGTCGATCCTAACGCCTCCGGTGCTGTCGATCCTAGTGCCTCCGGTGCTGTCGATCCTAGTGCCTCCGGTGCTGTCGATCCTAGCGCCTCCGGTGCTGGCGTCGTGTCCATGGGTTCGCTCGTGTCCGTGGGCTCGCCTGCCCCGTTATTACACACCTGGTTATCGATATTGTTACGCACAGTCTCGTCCCTTTCCTCCTTGTCCATGATCGCGTAGATGTCTTCGTTTAGTGTCCGCAACTCTTCGTACCTGGACTCGCTGCACCGCCACGCGTAGTCACGCCGAAGAGCCGCGGCTTCGTTCTTCACGCGCTTCCCCGCGGCCTCCAGCGTCCGCCCCGGCATGGCGCGAACCCGCCCCGGCATGGCGCGAAC